GGTTGAAATGAATGGATTGGTGACAACAGGTAGCGAATTAAGTTTGCAATAGAAAAGTAATACTATTGTCATCCCTATGAAAAAGCCATCTCAAATGAGGACTACTATTCCTTATTGAAAATATTTGAGTATTTCCAGGAATACAATGTATAGTTCAGAACAGTCTGTGTCCTGAGAAATAGCCATGAACTGTGTTTTAGGCTTCTACTTTAGATACAGGGCACCTAAATGTTAGAAAGTTTCTTAGTACAAGACACAAGGCATTATTTGAAGGCCTGGAAATGGGTAATCAGATAGGCTTCTTCTGTCTCTAACTTCTATAGCACTTTGAGTAATATGAGTGGGAACAGAGAAATTTACCGTGAAGCCACTAATGATAAGGTATTAAGCCAGAAAGAGGAAGGAGAAGATCTTGTGCTGTGTTGAAAGTAAATTGGATTTATGCAGAAAAGTTTTCCTCTTACATATAGTCAATGCAATATGTACTGAAGAAGACAAAGAAGTTTAAGCAGAACAGCAAAAATGCTGGGGTGTCCTGTGCCAGAACAATGTAGCCTACAAGTTAGCAAGGAACAAAGGAAAAAAAAAAAAGCCTTTACTTAAGTCAATTGGAGAGAATAACAAAACAAATTGTTTCAAGTATGGTTGTTCAGTGCACAATTTACTATATAATAGCTAAGGCCAATTCTCTCCTATCCAAATCCTTCAGAGGAGCCCAGTGAAGCGCCACGGCACTGCCTGGCCCTCTGCATGTCTGGAAGAAGTGGCAACAGTTTGAAAGCAGTGGCTTTCTCACTGTTAGGTGAAAAGTATGGATTTGAGTGGTCATCGTTCACAAGGATTAAGATAATGTCCCATCCACTTCTTCAGCTGACATTTGAGATTCGATTAGACCTGTCGAGGTCTGTCAATTTACTAGTTGCCCATTTTTTCATTAAAAGAGACATCCTCAGCCATGGAAGGAGTGTCTAATCAAGTACCAGATTGCAAGTATGTTGTAAAAAATAATTGCTTTTTGTAATAGCTGAACATCAGCTAATAAAATAGGTGTTTTTAAAACAAATATCTTGACAATGCAAACCATACTATCTCTGAAGAATGTATTTGGAGATTGACCAGACAATTAGAATTTAATTGTTATATTTGTTAACCTTAATTTAGTCACAGAGCACGCACTGGATGCCACTCCTTGAGTAAAGAAAAAAGTAAAGAAAAACAAAAAGTGGTTTGACACTGTACTACAACATCAGCTGAGCACTCAGGAAGCTTTACCAAAGCCAAGCCAGGCTGCTGTGCTCTGTCTTTGTGCCTGTGTTCGGGCACACGGAATCCGTCTTAATATTTGCCACTGGCACTGGTTTTCTTGGCCACAGATTCATTGCCCCTGGGACAGTTTTTCATCCTCTGGCTGAAAGCTCATCTTTTTCCTTATGACTGGCATGTCTCACACAATAATAATAGATTTTACAACACATCCCCCCCTCTCCACATAATGTCAATGCATCCTCCTTATCCCCATAACATGTTTGGTTGCAAGAGTATCTCATCCGTGCACACAAGAGAAAGTATGAACTGGGCTACCAATTGTCCTTGCAGGTGAGGCCCTATGGAAGGAAAAATTAAGATTTAAGGAAATTTAAGGTATATCAGGAGATCTGGCCAAGCAGACAGTGTTTGTTTAAATAATAGCATATACTTGGGATTACAGGACTTGTCTTGATGTGGACATATTGGTGAGACCAGACCTCTACCTTTTTCAGCAAGCTTTGAGGAGCGTTACAATAACAGTGGTGACAGCCTCTATTTATTTTACCTGCTGCTCTGGGACAAGGAAAATCATGTGCATGTTTGACATGTTGGTAATGAATTCCTTTTGTACCAGGCAAACACTGCAGAATGTCTCGTGAAAACATCCTAATTAAGAGGTGGATTTGAGTAGACATACAATCTCTAAAATATCAGAAGTTCCACTCAATTTAATGTACATCCAGCAGTTCCCAAGAGAGTGTTTCAAAATCACTAAGCTTCTGTTTAGCAAACTGGGGATGAGCACAGGGGCTCTGAAGGACTGTAAATGAAAGATTACTTAACTCTGAGGGAACTGTCTGACTTCTGAATGTTTGAAAGCAAGCTTCTTTCTTGGTAGCTTTCTTAAACGTGTGTGAAGCAGATGTTCATATTGTGCAGAGCCTTCCACGGGTCCGTTCAAATAGTCAAACACCTTTTCAATATCTGTCAGGAAACACCCTGTGAATCTGATCCATGCGTTGCAGGTGGTGAGACTACATGAAAAGTGGTTGTCTGGTTAAAGTAAAGATTTCAGTGTGTTGTCATTTGAACATTCATTTCTCTTTGCACTCAGGATTCCCTGAAAAAGGAAGGTAAAAGTAAAAAGAGTATTCCTTTTTAAAGAGAGATGAGTTATTTAAAAAATCATGTACACTAAAAGAAATCAAATTACATTAACTGTGTCACATTTGATGATTTAAAAAGAAAATAAAATTCCTTTTTAAAATATAATCCTTGAAATCATCAAATAGACAAGTTGGAGCCAATGGGAAGCTCCTTGCTACGTACAGCCCTGCCTTAGGAATCAAATGTTCATGGCCCTTTTCCTACAGTTTCATGGATCTCACAGTATTTTGGAGAGATTCAGTGTTGGCAGATCTGTGTATCTGCATAAAATGTCCCTGAAATCTATGGGACGTTGGTGACGGGCATGTCAAAATGAATCAGATTATAAAACTGTAGTTTAAAATGGGAAGATGCTACAGGCTGGTCCTTGACTGCCTGATCTCTGCCTGCTGCATGCTAAACAGCTTCTCTGAAGCCAGGAGTCTTGGCTCAGTGTTATTGTAAGATTTTGCTACTTTTTCCCTTCGCCTCACAAAAATTCTTATATACCAACTATTCTCTGCTCAGGAAGGATTATCTTTTTTTTTTTTTTTTTTTTTTTTTTTTTTTTTTTTTTTTTTTTTTTTTTTTTTTTTTATTATGTTCAGTATACATGTCCAGGCAGAGGTATAGTGGGAGAAAAGAACAGGATCTTCAGCCTCCCTCCTTTCCCCAGTAACAACAGGCTTGTGGCAAGGACAAGCAAACTATCAGAGGATAGTTTCCTCTCATTAACCTGCAGGTTAAGGCTAGGAACATGTTAGCTGATGCACTCCCCTAACACATCATGGGGCCATGCAGCTCTCCCAGCTCCCCATCCGTCAGGTCACGGCTCTGTCCACTGCAATACTTTTTCCTTCATTATAGAAAAGAAGCAATTACACAGTAGGTGTTTTGATTGTATCTAGGCCACCACTATTTTTTAGCTCCTTTAGAAACCTTTCTTCTAACGCGGTATATTTCTGTGTCCTTAAAGATATCCTTTCTGGAAGAGTCCCTTCTTGAATTGCTTTTCAGTAACAGGTTTGATTTACAAATCTCGTCTAAAGACGCACACACCCGACAAACCCTGCACAAAACAAAGCTGTGTGTCAGGGCCTCTTTTGTAACCAAAAAACCATTCAAGCTGCAAGCGAGAGCAGTCTCCTGCCTCGCTGGTGGGGTGGGCAGCGCGGTGGAGCGACAGCTTTAGCAGAGCTCCCATTTGGTGGAAGACAAGCTGCAAGCTTTTTGCACCTTCTGTTAAACCTGCTGAGAGGGCACGCGAGCCTTTCTTCTTTAAAGCACGTTTGGGAAGAGCTATTCAACATAACGGAGATTGTCTGTGGAAAAGGTTCTCTAAGCAATTAAACTGCTTTTTATACTTTTCAGTGAATCCTTTCCAGGAGCTTTTTCTAGACAAGTGTTGCTACAGATTGGGCTGTGTTAGTGAGTGCTCCAGCAGGAACCGCTTTGACTGACGTTTGGGCCAGAGGCACCCACAGCTCTGCTCCCAACCCCTGGCCAGACCCTGAGCCTGTCCCCTAAACAGTCTGTCCCTTTTTTAATCTGTTTAAGGATGTTAACTTCAACCTACCTTGTAAAGGTAGTATGGCGGTTAATTTGCAAATATGAACTGGGTGTAATGTGAGCTAATTCTGTTGCTTCCTGTAGGAGAAGATGACAGGCTCTGAAAAGTAATTTGGCTGTATAAGTAGGCTTACAGTAAGTATCAGGTGATTGCTTTCTTCATTTTCATATTAAAAGGAGGGGAAGATTTCTGGTTTTCCCCACCCTTCGTCCTTTCTGCTCTCTTCCCCTCACCTACTTGGATGATTTTCAGGTCCATGGGGTGAAGGAATAGGGTTTTAGTTCACTTTTGGCAAACCTTTGGAACTGCTGTACTGAATCTCTAGCCTTGGGAGATCTGCAAATACTTAAGACCTGCACCAGTATACTCTGATGCGCCATCATTCCCGCCACAGGCAGTTAATTTTCTTTGGTGATGCTTCTCCTAACACTGTTGACTTTACTGAATGCCAGGTACAATCTTTAACAACATATACTAATATTAATTAACAGCACCTTCTCGGTTCAGGGCCCTCTCTGTGCCAGTCCCTGTGCAGGATGAGTTCCTAATGACCCGGTGCTTGAGCCGTGACACTTCAGCCTGGCAATTTTTTACTTCTCCTCAACAGCTGTATCGTTGTGACTTGCATATGTGCTTGAACTCTAGTTTTAAAAGCCTTAGGTTTGACATGAGCTGTTGTTTTAGTAAGTAATTTTTATCAATGGACTTTTGTTTCTTTTTCATTGCCTGCTGAAAGAGACATGTGGGCTTACATTTTCTAGGTACTGAAGAAGAAATAGTTTTCTCCTGAAGCTCAGTAGCTGGGGGTTTCAAGCATTTCTTCTCTGTTAGCACTGGTACATGTTAGTCTTCTCGTTTTGTATGGCAATATAAGCTTGAAGTTAGCTCTCTTAAGTGAATGAATTAGCCATAAGACTGAGTGTATTTTGTCCCAAAAGCTCAGGATTCCTGTGCTTTCCATCCTGAGATACATCCTTTTAGCTTAGCTTTGAGCCTAGCTAAGTCAATGCTTCATACAGTATTCTTTTCATTCCAGTCCTACATGGAAGATCATCTGAAAAACAAGAATCGTCTGGAGAAAGAGTGGGAGGCTCTGTGTGCTTATCAGGCTGAACCCAATGCCACCACCATTGCACAGCAGGAGGAAAATATCCAGAAGAATCGCTCACGGGCTGTAGTACCATGTATGTACACTTTAATTTGGATGATTGCATTTTAAGTTCTTGATACTTTTCTCAATATCCTTTGCACAGTGGTTTGAAAGCTACAGATGACAGGCAAAGAGAATACAGTGTAGCTCGTATGTGTACTAGAAAACTGTAGCTACAACTATGGGCTGGGTGCATGTCTTGTTGTTTGTCTCCTTATAAGTTGCGTATATGTTACAAAAATGCACAACTATGTCACATAGCACTGCTGCTGCAGCTGTGCTGTCTCATGAAATTCAATAGCCAGAGTGTTTTTCAATGCTGGAATATACTTTCTGTACAAGAGTGGCATCTGTAGCCATTCAACAGAAAGAAGTTTGGCTTGTGTTTAGACAAGATGGTATCATGTCCATCCAACAGTAATACCAGCAGTCTATAATCAGCGCTAGATGATCTGTTTATCAGATACTCAGCTATACTGAATGAGGCCCTTTAGGCTTCAGTGGATAAGCTTGCAAACTGGCTTCTCTCTCTGCTAGGCTTAGGAGAAAAAAAGAAAAAGAAAAAAAAAAAAAGAAAAACAAAACAGCCAGTGTTTATATTCCTAGAATCTGCTCTTTCCTGTAAGCAGCCACCTTTCTGAGCTTGAAATAAAAGCCACATATTTTTCCTATGCAAATATATGTATCTCATAGATTACATTGGTAAGCTATGGCCACACGTTTTATTAAGCAACCAATGAAACAAAACTGAAACTGAGAATATATGCACAGTCCACAGCAACAAAAATGCTCTCAGTCAGCGTGCCCACAATCCAGCTGGGTAGCTTGGCAAACATATATAGCTATTTTAATTTTTAAAGTGCCCTGAAAACATTAATTTTCCCTATGAGAGCCTTGAGTAAGTACTATTCCTCCTTTAGAAGTGGGGAAATGACAGGTAACACATTAAGTAAATGTCAGAGCCAGATTTAGAGTGACGATTCTTTGGAAGTACATGATAATTTAACTGAGCCCATCAGTCCTTGCATATTTGCTTCAGCAGGGTTTGGCTCTCTTGTTTATGTAGTGGCTTTCTGCAATACTTTGCAGCTTAGGAGAGCAGTACAGTAGTTTGGTGATATGAATTCTCCTGAGTAAATACGCCGCTGGTCAAAAGTCTTTTGGGGCAACAGCAACAATGTGCTGACTTCCATGTGTTTTGCGATCAGGTCTGTTGAAAAGTTCTAAAGAAGTAACCATGAAAGTTAAAGAAGTGCAAGACTTCTGTGCTCTTTTCCATCCTGAAAAAATTGCATTTAACCGACATGATAGGAAGTGAAAATTGCTCTGTGATAATGTGTATTGATCCAAATTGATCTTCCTGCCTGAAGTGTTCTTTTCAATGTGGACTTACAGTCAGACCATGTTAAGCTGTTCCAAGTCTCTGCTCATAAATTAAGCCGGATTGTTTCTGGTTGCTGCCTTGGAGACAGCATGGGAGCTACAGGTGTTGCCAGAAATTGATGCTGGTTATTCAGCTGTTGTAGTAAACGTGGCTGCATGATACAATGAGCAATAAGATAGGGACCCTCAGACTAGACCGTTCTAGCTCTGAATCCAGAAGTAACATAGCTGCAGCAGTGCTAAAAAGCAGAGATTTTTAGCTTGGGTGTCATGCCACACTAGAGAGCTGAACTATTTTCAGAGCTAAGATAGTCTGTCTCTTTTCATCATATTGTACCATGTGGATGAATCAGCCTACGCTGATCAGCCTTCAGTTGACAAGTCTCTGCCCATTGCTTCTTCCATGGCATGTTGTTTTGCCTGTTCTTCCCATTGCTGAGTCTAGACTGAATCAGTACTACCTGGGAAGGTATTTGGACATGGACAGGGTGGCTGCTGTTTATTTGAAACTTTAATTAGAAGTATTTTAGCACATTTAAAATCCCTTAGTACTTTTACAAGAGTAAAATGCTATTTTTGTGGCTTTATTACAATTTGGAAACTTGTATTATAGCTATTAGTGCACTGGGAACTTTCTTTTTTTGACTGAATTGCACAAAATTACCTGCCCTCACTTTCCGAAGTTGCTGTGCACTGGTAAACAGCTGTCACGTTGCATCCTTAAAACTACTTTGATGCTGGGTGGAAAGTGTGGCATAGAGTTTAAACAATATTAAATTTTGATAAGGTGATGGTTATTGTAGCCTCTAAGATTAGACTGAGATGAGAAAGAGCCCAGTTTACTCACTTTTTTTTTTCTATGTTTGACATTAAAACTATAGTAAAAAGTCACAGATTTGCTTCATAATAAATTAAGAAGCAAAGCTGATACGGTTTTGATATGCTACAAAGTCGTTATGCTACATTCAAAGTATTCTCACAGAGAAATGCCTTGTTAGCATTTTCTTACCCCTTTCATATTCATAATCACCTTGACAAGGTAGAACAAGACTGCCAATTCATGTAAAAGATTTCATCTTAGGAAGGCTTCAAAGCAGCTTTAATATCATGTTGTATTTACTTTGCATTTTCCTTTCTTAACCAGTCTTAAAATAATATGATATTATTTTTTGCTGATTACATAACTGATGTAATTTCTAGATTAACATTATCTTTAATCTCACAATTTTATCATAGTTTACTCTTATACATATCGTCTCTATTTAAAAACAGCTTTTAAAATACTTGATAGCAGAACACCTTGATACTGCACTTAATTAATTACTAGTTAAAAAAATTCTAACAATTGAAGTAACTTCGACCTTCTAGATTAACAAAACTACATCCTTTTATCCAACCACCGAGCAGATTGCCATAATTTAGGCATGTGTATGAACACATGAGCAGCTCAATTTGTTGATGTCAAGACTTTATTTTCTCTTCTTGCATCTCTGCAAAATGAAACCATCTCAATAGGGTCAATACTGTATGTTGTTATTTATGTATGCCATAGATACATATAGGTATTTTAAACTTTTGGCAAACAACTTTTTGCAGTGAACATCTGTCAAAAGCTGTCTACTCTAGCTGTGCCCATGGGTCCTGGTATATATTAGAGCAACCTGCTTACTTCTGTGCTTTGATTTTCCTCCAAAGGAAAGCAAAGCATTTGGGGGCAGAGTGTGCACCCAGCTCTGAGGCTTGTGTGCAGTCAGAGCCCAGTCAGGGGACGTGTACCGAGGACGGGAACACCTGAGCAGGGGGTACTTGCTGTGGGTGTGTGCATTACCCGTATCAGTAACAATACAGTACAAATAGTGCTCTGGAATAAATGAACTTGATTTCAGTTCAGATCTAAAAAGAGTTCCGTTTTGTGCAAATAACCTATGGGCAAAATAATGATAATCAACAAATTACGATTCTTCACAGTCTTCAGACTGCTCACTTTTGCGCCTCATTTCTAGTTCTTCATTTTCTTACTTTAGTGTAGTTCTGTATAGTGTTTTGTATGGAAAAAAGAATATCAGTCTAAATCTAGAAGAGAATGATGATCTGGGCAGAATGTGCCAGGCTGATTGTTGTGAGATTCGCTCTGCTCTGTGATGCCTGGTTCAGACATCCCAAATTCGCCCATACTCCTTGCATTCAGCCTTTGTTTGTTGGTTCTGTTCCTTCAGAAGTATCTGACTAAAAGGAAACAGAAGACAGAGGGAATTAGGTAAGATGTGAGTCTTATTTTTCCGAGCTTTCAATCCCCATCTGAAAAATAACAAAAATAATATATATTCATTAAGTCACAGGGCTACTGTGAGATAAATAGAAGACTGTGAGATGGCATACTACTGTAGTAGTGGTGACTAATTAAATAATCCAGATAGATATGACATTTTTTGCTCAACTCAGTTGTTTAAACACAGGAATCTAGTGTCATTTGAGACACCTAAAGTATTCAAGGCACCCACACAGAGCTGGTAGGCCTAACACAGGCTCTATGGGAGACCTGTGCCCTCCTAGCTGCTAGCCTGCATGTCCTTAGGGCATCTCAGATATCTAGAAACCTACACTGAGGTATTGAGTCAAGTTCTCTGGGCATGATTCTGTGATATCATAGATTAAGATGCCTAAATTTAAGTGTCTCCACGTAGCTGCCTTCATGTAAAAGCACCCATTACAGCCAGTGAAGAGCTAGTCAATGCAGTGGCATCAAGAGATCTGTGCAATGACCAAAAGTAAGTTTTTTATTTTCACTGAAATGAATAGCTCTAGGATACCCTCAGATATCCTCTGTGAGCTTCAGATGGAGGTCCAATAGGATACAAGTTGTCAGGTCTTGTGTCATATCTGTTAACCTTGTGCAATGTCTCATCTACTCTGCAGTTTCTCAAATGGTATGATATGTTCATGTTTAGCCAACTAAATCAACACCATTAACTGTAACCTAGTCCACATGAAGATATCAGTATGTAGACACCAAAACTTAGATTTCTGTCTATAAATCGAGTTTTTATATAGTACAAACTCATGTGTGCTTGCTTTACATGTTATCCTTTATCCTCTATCCTTTATAATTTATATTTTATACTTTCTATTTTATATGTATATAAAATACAACATTGTGTTATATTTCTCCTCAGCTATAGGATAGTACTAGCCTTCTTGTTCAGGAAGCCTCTCTCTGCCACACGTATCCATCTATCCGGTTTGCTTTTCTTTCAGCTGTGGCTTGGCTGGAGCAATAACAAATGCAAAGTAGTTCAGCATTCAGCAGTAGCTATTGTAGATATTTGAAATGATGACTAGTTGTAGCTTGGCCAGATTGCAGTAGCTAGTAACAGCATTTGTCTTTTCTCTCACTTCCTTATTACCGTCCCTCTCCTCTCTTATTTCTTCATTCATCTTTCTTTCTTGCTTTTTAGATTGATTCTATATATCTTCCTTTTCTGTCATCTCCTTCCTTCCTTCCTTTTATTTCCTGCTTCTCCTGATTCTCTTTCCTTGCTTCTAACATAATCAATATGCAGTTTACAAAAAAAAAATCTTGAACATTCGGCATTTTACTCATAGTTCCGTATTGTTAACATAACAAACTGGTGTCCATGGTTTTCTTTTTTTTCCTTCTTTTTCTGCCTGTTTCTGAAGAGCTATTATGCTAGTTCCTAGAAGCTTTGAGGTGATAACAGGCATAGACAAGCACAATCTGTTCATTGTCAATATGAACACTTGATGCTGCAACTGAAGCACACATGGGTACAAACTCTTGATATATGCAGAAAACACATGTACAACCTTTTTTGCACAGTTTGGTTTTTTTTTTTTTCTGAACGCAAATACAAAGTCTCACCACCTTTTCACTACCAAAGCCTTAACATGCCTCACCCTCTGATAAACACTTCAAGACAGCAGGATAATGATACAGTACACTAAATCAGAGGGTCTGGATAAAACATTATGTTTTAAAAAAAAAGATCCTGAAGTTACCGATCTGACACTTGACTTTCATTGGAGAGTCACAGTGACATCTGTTTGCTAAATACTGATGAATCACTGTCTGCTCTCTCTCCCTCATCTATTTGAAAATATTTCACACATTTTCTTTGGTGATTAGTTCAAACACTTTTGGGTCCAATGAATGGGGCTTATCCTGAGTGCTTACTTAGCTTAAGATACGTGGGAGACCATATTTAGTGCATGTAACCTGCGTATCTTCTGCAGAGCCAAAAGGTTTCAGAGCTGTAGTTCTTCAAGCACTCTGTGATAATGCTCATTGTAAAGCTTTCTATACAAAATCTTGGGTAGCCCCAAGATCACAGATGTCACAAATTCATTTTTATGTTTCAGATTTTTTGTGCAGTGGTGCCAAAGTAAGGTGGAAGTGAATAATGTGCATGTTCCCTTTCTCATCTTCTTCATCCTCCTATTGCATTGAAACCTTACCAGAAGAGATAATTTTATGTGAATAGTGAATCATAGAATCATTTAGGTTGGAAAAGACCCTTAAGATCATCGAGTCCAACCGTTAACCTATCACTGCCAAGTCCACCACTAAACCATGTCCCTAAGCACCACATCTACCCATCTTTTAAATGCCTCGAGGGATGGGGACTCAACCACTTCCCTGAGCAGCCTGTTCCAATGCCTGCCTGCCCTTTCGGTGAAGAATTTTTTCCTAATATCCAACCTAAACGTCCCCTGGTGCAACTTGAGGCCATTTCCTCTTGTCGTTATCACTTGTTACTTGGGTGAAGAGACCAACACCCGCCTCACTACAACCTCCTTTCAGGTAGTTGTAGAGAGCAATAAGGTCTCCCCTCAGCCTCCTCCTCTCCAGGCTAAATAACCCCAGCTCCCTCAGCCGCTCCTCATAAGACTTGTTCTCCTGACCCTTCACCAGCTTCATTGCCCTTCTTTGGATGCGCTCCAGCACCTCAATGTCCTTCTTGTAGTGAGGAGCCCAAAACTGAACACAATATTCAAGGTGCGGCCTCTCCAGTGCCGAGTACAGGGGCACTATCACCTCCCTAGTCCTGCTGGCCACACTATTCCCGATACAACCCAGGATGCTATTGACCTTCTTAGCCACCTGGGCACACTGCTGGCTCATATTCAGCTGGCTGTTGACCAACACCCCCCTGGTTCTTTTCCACAAGGCAGCTCTCCAGTCACTCTTCCCCAAGCCTGTAGCATTGCATGGGGTTGTTGTGACTGAAGTGGCGGCCTTCCTACCCTCCAGCAGATCAACACTGCCACCCAACTTGCTGTTGTCTGCAAACTTACTGAGGGTGCACTGGATCCCCTCATCCAGATCATTGATAAAGATATTAAACAGAACTGGCCCCAATACTGAGTCCTGGGGAACACCTCTTGTGACTGGCTGCCAACTAGATTTATCTCCATTCACCACAACTCTTTGGGCCCGGCCATCCAGCCAGTTTCTCACCCAGCCAAGAGTCCGCCCATCTGAGCCATTAGCAGCCAGTTTCTGCAGGACAATGCTGTGGGAAATGGTGTTAAAGGCTTTACTGAAGTCTAGGTAGACAACATCCACAGCCTTTCCCTCATCCGCTAAGCAGGTCAACTTGTCATGGAAGGAGACCAGGTTAGTGAAGCTGGACCTGTCTTTCATAAACCCATACTGACCGGGCCCGATCTCCTGTTTGTCCTGTAAGTGCTGAGTGATGGCACTCAGGATGATACAACCTTCCCCAGGACCGAGGTCAGGCTGACAGGCCTGTAGTTCCCCGGATCCTCCTTCCAGCCCGTCTCATAGATGGGCATCACATTTGCTAACTTCCAGTCAACTGGAAAGAATGGCTCTTCATTCATTTGACATGACTTGTTCACCTCTAATCTTATTCCAGGAGAAGGCTGCTCACATTGGTGGCTTAAATTTTGCTGATGAGATTGAGTGACTATAAACAACATTCATACAAGCACACCTTTGTCTTGCTCACATATTGAGCTGCCATGACATTACTGGTGAATAAACCTAAGCAGAGCCCAAACCCACTGTCTCTACTTTCCTGTATGGTACTTAGATTTACTGTTCCTCATTAAAATAATGATTGGTACTTAATAGTTTAAAAAGCAAACTTATAGTTCTGCTGTTAAGAATGGTGTCATGGGCCACTAGACAAGATAAAATGGGGGACAGGGTGTATTCATGTACTCTTATTTTGTTTATTTGAATAATTGGTGGAAAGATCCTCTCAAAACATTAGTATCCATGTTCAGCTGTAGAGGGTTACAGAAAGGGAAGCTCCACGGCCTCTCACCGCAATGTACTGTGCAGGGTAGGTTTGCTGAGAAATATGAATTGTGCTGGTTATATATCAGGTACAAGTTGTTTGAGATTCATATGTAAAGACTTAGACATCTCTCCCATAAATTATCTGTGTGTGGTCTGGTCTTTTTTTCTGTAGTCAATGGAAAGAAACGGGCACCTCTCGAGTGCAATTTGGCCTGTTTGAAACAGCTACATCAGGACAAGATGATTCATGACATAGAAATATTTCTTTTCTCTTAGCAGAAAGTGAGTCGAGATGATTGGAACAGATGCAGGCATCTGCATTGTCACTGTCTAAATACAGACAAATAAAACCCCTCCATTACATATGTCCTGAAGTAAAAAAAAAAAGGACTAGAGTTTAAGGTGTACCAGCTCTAAACATACTTAAGCTAGCACCAATAAAAATACAAGTTAAAAAGTGAGAAAAGAATTTTGACAATGGGCAAACAACATGAATAAGTCTATGTCCAGAGCTGCTGTTTTCTTTACTCCCTGAGCAGTAGAGATTCCCCTTTTTCCTATGAGAGGCCCTAACACATTATGGCGCATCTCATGAAGACATGCTTTCCGATACTCAGCCTCTGAAATATTCTAGAGCTTCATTCCAGAGTCAGACTTTGACTCTGTGGCTGTGTCAAGGCTATGTGCTGTTAGGAGTGAGAAGGGAATATCCTTTCTGATATTTGTTTGCCTGTCTTAAAATGCACATTAATCTGACTTTGAATTGTTTAACTTAAAATGGGTAGAATACTTGTATGGAAACTTTTCTTTATTTCTCCTTTGCAGATGATCATTCCAGGATATGTCTGAAAGCTGAAAATAGCCACGACAATTCAGACTACATCAATGCTAGCCCAATTGTAAGTATGGTAACCTATGAGAAATAATCCAAATAGTTAGTCCTTGTCTTTCCTTGTTGTTAAAATATGCTTACTTGAGGCACCTCACGGCTCAGGTTGTGCAACCTTAGGTTGTGAGCACCTCACAATGCTGATGTCTCAGGCTGTCCTTTCAAATTGAAGAGAAAGAAATCTTCTACACGTGCATGCAATACTCTTGAGGTTTATGTACAAAGAAAATGAAGTCACTAGATAGATAGTCATCAATCTACCTTGCAATACTGTCAGGTTTTCTGTACTTGATCTTATTAATTTACGGATTATAAATTCAACAATACACCCTTAGTGGAGCTTTTCCTTCTCTGAGGAGGTAAAACTTGCTTGTTCTTTTTTGATTTGTCTTACTAGCTACGGTCATAGGAGGAATGGTCTCTGTAGCTGTGGAGAGCAGAGCTCCACAGGCTTCTGAATTTCTGCAGCAGGAAGTGACATTTCCTCTTACCTCTCTTCCTCAGTTGCCCTACAGATGCATAGCTTTGTGTTTCTCTAGCTCTCCCGGTTCTTCTCTGATCTTGCTGTTTTGAAAGCAAGAACGAGATCCCTTACCACTTGTGTATTTGTTCAAACTGCAAGATAGGTCAATCCAATTTTTGCCTCCGAATACCCCAGCATGGCCCAGCTGCCCTTTCTCACCCTGCGTAAGCTGAATATTAATCCTTTCTTGTCTGTGAAAGGTGACAGGGAGAAAAGGTCTCTATTTTTAGACACAAAACAGGTATGACAGAGCCAGTAGCATTACCCTGTCATAACATCTCAGTGGAAGTGTCATGATATCCATTTGAAGGGGGAAAAAGGCACTGTGTCCTTGACCTCTGTGAGACGGCTAGTGTTGGAGTCACCTTTGCTCATGGTTCTTATTCACAATAATTAGGCACTAAAAAGTTATTATAGGGAGACTACAAGAAAGAACCTAGGATGGAGAATTAGATCTCACTGCAGTGGGCTGTATATGCCATTACTGGCTCATTTTCCTGGGGAGTATCACTCCCCCAGTTAAATCACTTTGTGTGGGCAAGGCAGCTGACAATTTGCAACAGCATGAAATTACAGGCTGCTTCCTTCCAATGTTGTTGACAATACTTTTTTTTCTTAAAAAAAAAAAAAACAACTACATAGAAACTGTGCTCTGAGCTTTGTTTTTGTTACTTTCATCAGAGTTCAAAAGCTTCATTTCCCTGAATGTACAAAAATGTTTTATTCAGGGAGTTAAAAGACACAAAGAACCCAACAAACATCTTCAGGATGCTTTTGTCTTTGGCTTAGGGTAGAGGGTAAACCAAAGCACTTGCATGCTTCAGGGATTGCCATCTTCCATTTTAGAGAACAGGGGTAGATGCGCACAGATTAGAGCAGTTTTGGGACTACTTTTAAATATGTCTTTAACTAGACCAAGCTCTAGCTGGCCCCAGGATCAGGAGATCAGAGTATCTTGGCACTCCAAGGAGTACATGTCCTGCTTGTAAAGTCATGCACAGAGGTCCAGCTCCAGGGCTTCAGTGCTCTGTTTGCTTGTCTTCGGGGCACGTTCAGTGAGTTATGTTTGGTCAAGCCTTAATTTGATAGTAAAAGCTGAGAGGTTTTGTGGCCAGCACAGGAGTGAGAGGTGTTAACTGGAAGTGAGATATTGTATTCTTGAAAGAGCTTGGTTGTAATTCACATGAGTACAACATGGTGCAGAAGTGGAATTACAGCATCTGTAGACACTGCTAAGCCAGGTTCAGTGTTGGCAGCAGTACAGATGCTGTGTTTTTACCAAATAACTGAGATGGGCTTATGCAACCTGCCCAAAAGTCTGTGTAGACACAGCTTAACTGGTTTTAGTACACAAATTTGGTTGGGGGACGGATAAATTCTTGCATGTGTGTATATGCCTGTTGCAATTGTAATTCTGGTAATTAATTACACTGATGAGAAAAGTATTAGATTAAGTAGTGTTGGGGGTGGAGAGGCAGGACCAAGCTATCCCATTGGCATAACTGAGAAGAGATTTGCTTTGTCAGGATGCCCGAAGCTAATGCAGGCAGAGGGTCTCTGCTTCCACAGCTTTAACTCTCATGGTTTTACAGGGGGTTGCAATCTTGCTTTTCCATCCAGCACTTAAGGGTGTTTTCTTCTGGGAAGTTAGAAGGTATTTCTTTTTTATAGCTTTCCCAGGCTCAAGAGTTTGGCCAATAAAACAAGTCACACCAATGAAGCAAAATTCTTATGGTTGTCTCTATATCTCTTACAGAAATATTTCTATGCCCAAAGATAAGTGGGTGCACAAATGTTTCATTGAGTTGGGACAAGCACCCAGTATCTTGCATAGCCATGAAAAACTGCCAAGAGAAACCCTTGAGTTCCTCTCCTTCATGGTAGGATAGGGACCCTACTGTGTGGGAAGGAGTGCCCCAACCCACATTTGTGTAGACGACCTGTTATTCCAAGGAAAGAGATGCTCCAGATGGTTTTGTGAGTTTGTTTCACTAAGTCAATAGTCATTTTGCTGTTTCGCAAGCAATAGATAAAATGTGTGTTTCCTGAAGGTGATGCAGTGGGAGGTTGGTAGGAGGAAATCACTACTTTGCAAGCCCATAGTTTGGAAAGATTTCCTGCAAACTATTTCATTTCAAGACAAATTAAATATGTTCAGGTTATCGTAAACGTATTTGTTAATCTGGTATTGCTTTTGTATAATGAGGTAGCATATAGGAGAGACAGAGACTTTCAGTCCTGCTTCCCGCCTGAGAAGCCTACTGGAATATTATATTGGGCACTTGATTCTGCAGTATTTACTGTGGCTGTACAGCCACTGCAGCCTGAGCTGGACATACATGCCATTACTATTGCTGTTTATTTGAGACATTTAATCAACGTCTTTGTAAGTGTACAGTGGCTGTGGAGTACCAGTAAGTCTGCCTTTATTGGCTCTTGCAAAAATCCTACCATTTCCTTCCTTCAGACTCCTGCCTTTCAACTTAAATAACCTCAGTAATTATCATGTCAATACAGTGATGTTTCTGGTGCATTTGCGCCTTGCAGTGCTTGGGCTAGGAGTGAGCGTTGTAGTGAGCTGCAAGATGGGCATTAATAGCAGAGGATCAGTATGGTCTGAACTGACTGGAAAAGGGTTTTTGCTACCTGCGCGTGTGAGCTGTCTGCTGAGGGAAGAGTGTAAAATAAAGTAATTATGTTTGAGCTTTGGAAAGGGAGGCTTCCAGTCGTGTACACGTCACTGGGTATCTCCAGCTTCTGGGTCAGTGGTCCAGTCTCCAGCTGGGGCTCACTCAACCTTAACTTAGGTCTAAATGAGTGCAGCAGTACACCATAAAAAAATACCCGTGCTAGACAATGAGCTGGCCACCTGCCCACATGTTTCTTCCTTTTAAAAAATGCTGCCCCCCTCAAAACCTCCTTTTCCTCCAACATGTTGTGAAAACTGGGGTTAGATTGATGGCCTCACCACGGCTGCGAGTGGGTGAGGAGAATCAGCAGAGATTTACTCGAAGTTCTTCCCGTAGGTCTTTAATTTCGCTGTAGCGTGAGGCCAGGCAAAATGAGTCCTTAGGAGAAATTTGCAGGATAAAAGTGAGGTAGAAATCTGTTTCCCTCCTCTCTGAAATAACATAAAGTACTATGATAATAACTCTGCTATCGGCAGCTGAATGAAAGGCTTGCAATTACAGCACAAGGAGACCCTGACTGTGCAGAATAAAACTGTGATAATTACATCTGTCATATTTGTACTTAGTCCTCATTAAATTTCGGGAAAATCATCCAGTAGTAAATAATGTGCAATCTTTGCTTTTAAATCAGAGGTCATGAAAGTAAATGGGAATTCTGTTTTTCCTCATAGGGTGTCTGAGAGAGAAAAAATCCTATCAACTACATTTAAAAACTCAGTTTGCTTATTACTGAAGACACCAGACTGAGGAATGTCATTAGCATGACAGTTTGTTCAAACACAGCATACAAATTTCATCACCAAGAATAGACTCTGAAATTCATAATGGCATTCACAACCAGATTTACTTCTTTCATTCCATTAGGGGTTTTAAAGGAAGGATCTAAAAATTGTTTTAAATTTTAATTCAAACATGAAGATGAGGACTAGTCTACCTTTTTAATTTTAATGCTGAGATGAATGTGATTACAAAGTTCATCTGCATTTGCTGGATATGCTTTCTTCTACAAAAACAAATATACTTTTACTTTTAGAGACTGTCTATACTCTGTGTAATAAACACATGCATAAAAGTAGATTTTATTTGCATTATAAACACATTAAATCTGGAAACTACGCAGTAGCTTGAATCCATATGACTTTTTAAGGTGTTAATCAGAGTTCAACTTTCTTTCTGTCATGTTTGGTCTACACTGGATCTCATTCTGATCTCATATGATTTAGGAATATTTCAGCGGGACTCAGAGGATTTAGATCAAGGTAAATATGGCGTGACTGAGACCAGCATCTTTCTCTGTGGAAAGTGAAAAGTAAGAATCTGACAAGCTGAGAGGGAAGGTGAAGGGCAGGAATGAATCGGTGTATCATTTACATGAGATTTCAGAATGGTCATTGATGCTTATTGACACTTTTACTTCAGTTTCCAGTTTTAGGAGGCTACTTAACAAGAATCTATATGTACCACTCTCAAGTCCAAATACAATAAATTTGAGGATTTACTCCCTGAAGTTATTGATTTTGCTGTATTTCATTAGCATTACCAGTGAAATCATGCAGCAGCACAATTTCTACCTAGAAACTCAACAAAATGCAGAGTTCTTCAGGGAATCCTTGCAAAGACCTAGGATAAGGCAACTGGATAGTAGAACTCTTGCAGGAAGAACTAAAGGAGTAGCTTTTATTCTCTAGTAAAGCAAAAGGGGAATTGTGGTCTGATATTAATTTAACAAAGATGCAACTAATTGTGATACTGTGTTCTTTATATATTTTCCTACTTTAAGATACTCTAAGTCAACTTTCAGTACAAAGCCCTGTAGAAAAACACAAGTTGTGCCACTAACCTATCTAACATATAGGGACTTTTCATCCAGTTTTCTATAGTACTTCTTTTCCAACATGAAATCCGAATGCTCTTCCTTTTTGTTTCCATTTGCTTTTGACATTGGTAGTGACGGAAATCACCACAGTCAATTGCATGGTCAGTTATAGTAATCCTTG